TCTGCAATGTAGCCCTTGGTGAGACTAGCAGAAGACAGGACTTGAGCTGAGCAGAGCATGAGATTATGCGAGGCAGTGTGTTTCTGAGGCCATGGAAGGCTAGCAGGAGCAGAGGAGTCTTCAGGAGGATAAGGTTCTCTCCCCTTGACTTTCTTTAATTTAAGATTTTGGTTGCAGAACCTGGCTTTGTGCTATTACTATCCCATCTTGGATATAAGAGTGTAAGTGCTCTGACTGAAAGCCAGGAAATGCACAGTTTAAGAGATTTTTTTCTACATACAGCCACCATGTTGGGAAGCCAAGGATTTCATCCACCACTGGGGCAGGATACAAATCCAGCCACTGGGGATTACTAGATATTGATCTATGGGTAGATTCTATATCATGAAATAAATCTCGGTGGTCTTGCTTGGTTATATAACTTGCATCACTTCAGGGGAGGTAATGAATGGTTGAGGGGGAGACGGCAGCTCTCACCTTTCCTTCTTTTTTTGTGGCAATGTGTTATGAGTGGTGTTGATCACATTGTTAGTGTAGTTGCAACTTATTCTTGCCTATTTCTTTGAAATCTGAATGGCTGTCCTCATTCCAGCATTCCTTCAGTAGAATAAATACATTCATTCACTCTATAATGAGTTTTGGTTTTAATTGCAATGATAAAGAAAAAGATTACATCTTAACATGATTCTAGTATGAAAATGCATCTCTAGCATTAGGAGACTGTGTCAGACGATGCCATGTGATATTGCATATGTCATGTCATTAGTGCTTTATTGGTTGGGTAAGCTATTAATCAAATTGATGTCACTGTTAATGTATCTAAAGTCCTATGCAGCATTTATGTTAGGAAAAAATTTGACAGATAAAGGCTGACTCTAAAGAGCAATTTTAGCTGAAGCAGGATAAAAATGCCAATATAATTACATTATACAGAATGATATCTGGATATTTATAAGCTTGACCTTGTTTCTTCAGAATGAAAGTAATTCTACTTAGTAGTAGATATTTAACTTTTATTTGTCAGATACCTTGTAATACCTAACAGTATTACAATGTTTAATTGGTGTCATTTTGGTAGAGCTATAAATAAAGAAATGAAAGAATGAGTCTTTCATATGGAAGAAAAAAGTAGCAACTAGTTTGTTTCATGCAGGCATAAGAAAGATACTCCAAAGTAAAACAACTGCTCCTTGATACTGACACCTTGTTACTAGAAGTAAAAATCATCCACCTGGTGGTGTTCATAGTGTTATATTGTTTATAAACATCTGATTACCCACACAAAATTAGATTTATTTTCCACTCATGAGTTGAGATACCCATGAACTACTGCTTCCAGTTCTTGATACTCTATCCTTCTCGGACCATTCAAGTAGCCAAGCAGCAGGAAATCTGCAAGCAAAAAATACAGTGAAATATCTCTTAAGGGCTTACTGGAATTGGTTGCTTAATACAGGTTTAATAGTGGTGGAGAAGTTCTGAACTTAGTGGTCCATAGGTGAGTCAGCTTACACCAGCCGAGAATCAGCTCCATTATGTTTGTATTCTGGGATGGTCTTTTACAGCAAGAAGTTGTGTGGGGTGATGGTTTCTTAAGAGTTTCATTGTCCTTTATGATCAATTCCTACTGCTGAGGCTTTGTTCTCATCCACTGATAGATAGGGATTCCTCCAAGTGTAGAATTTCAAAACTTTTCTCACCTCACCAAAGGGCAGTGTACAACTACCTCTTCTCAAGTATTATAGCATCCCTATTTCAACCCATCATTGCCTATTTTACTGCTGATTGCAGAAGAGCAATTTCTGTGTCCAATACCATGTGGTCTGATGCCGATAGCTGATACGTGACAGAAATTGTTTTTCGCAGTTGGTTGTTTCATTTCTCCTACTGCCTTTCTGTCCGAAACTAAATTACCTTGTGGAGCCCGACATTGGTTTTAATGGTTATGTCTTTTTGTTAGCTGTTTCTTTTTCTCCTTTTCACTTTACACGGACATCTGCAAAGCAGCCTAGTGGATTCAGACTTGGCTCTGAATGCTGACTTTAGATGTATACAGGCTTTAAAAATTTCCAATTCCATCACACAGACTTTATATGAAACATTAAAATCTGGATTGAATAAAGTAACTAAAGAAAAACAAAGGAATGCAAAAAACAGTCCAACCTTCCATCACAGTGAGTGACTTGCTTAAACACTCCTTGCTGCTCCTGCTTCCCATGATTTTAAAGTGCCACAGCTCTCCATGTGCACACGTCTTCCCTACTTTCCCTGCCACTGCAGTGTTCCTCCACCAGTGTTCCTTCACCCTCTTATTTTTATTCACTGAATTCTAGTGCAAGTTGTCAATTGCTCATAAAGGACCCAATCGTGCATATACTTGTACGCAAACAATTTTACTCTCATGAGTAGCCACATGGATTTCAATAGGACTGTTCATGTGAGTAAAATAACTCCATATATAAACGTTTGCAATCTTCAAGATTTCAAACAGAACTTTACTTTTGATTTCTTTTGTTTCCTATCACAGTGCTTCTAGTTAATTGACGTGTTCTTATAAAGGTTCAAACGTAAATCAAGGTCCTTCTGCTTTTAATTGTGATAGTAATTAAAACTGTGAGCAGCTAGCATCCCTGTTTTTAAAACACCTTTGACTACTAATGATTATTAGAAACCTCAATTTTTAAATTGTGAACTTAAAAAGGTTTATGCCTGATTCCTAGTGACTCTTCGCAAGGATTTCATCAGCCAGATAATAACTGAAGAGAACAATTAAGCAATTAATTTGAAGCTGAGTTATTTAATGACCTAACATAACTCATGAATGATGATGTACATATATAGGTCTGTGATGGGGCAGAGCCGCCCCACACTGGAGGGCCGCTGATCACCGCCTGTGTGGCGACCAAGGCGGCACAATATCGGTGGTCACCGAGCGTGCACATGGTGATCAGCCGCCTGAGAGACGTGGCTGCCCGGGGGAGGAGCGGATGGTGGGCGGACGCAGAGTGATGTTACTGCCGTCGGCATGCCAAAGAGGGGCGGAGTCACAGCGTAGATGCGGGGCGCCCAGCTGAGATATTTAAAAACCCCGGAAGGAGCGCAGTAGAGGGTGACAGGGGGAGGAGAGACGGGCCACGGATGGAGGGAGCCCATGGAATTCTGACTGAGGGAGGTGAGACTGTCCCGAACTGGAGACATTGCTTCTGCTCGGGGGCCGGAAGCAGGGAAAGGAAGTAGCCCAGGGCGGGCAAAGGCTAGCCCGTGGACCGGCGCATTATGGCGGAAAGCCCCGCCAGTCGGGCCGGACTACAAGCCTAATCTGCGTCCTTAGCTGGGCTGGGGCCCGTGAGAGGGGGTGGGCCCGGGCCCCCCTTACCTCCCCGACCTACGCAGAGGGGCATCTAGAGACTGAGCTGCTGATGGGCATGCCAGCCTCAGTGCCAGGTCGGAATACGCCAATCACAGACTGCAACTAGCCAAAAAGGGGCTGATTTCAGGACACGGAGACTTAGGGTGGGATGGAGGGCCTTACAGAAAGGTGGGGACAAGGGACTGGAGAACAGAATGGCTGGACGCCCGGTCACAAGGTCATTAACACAATTGAATATCTTTGGCCTGATTGTTTCACGTTGCTGTAAATCAGGAGTAACTCCACTGAGCCAATTAAATTGTACTGGAGAAAACCCCCCAAAAGCACTTGGTAGGTGAGAAGAAAATCAGGCTCCATTTATTTATCATATAAAGAAAATATATTAAATAAGTTGCGTGTTCCCAGTCACTGAGTGTTCAAGTGAAAATGATAGCATGTGTACCACATGCATTGTCTTGCACTCAAAAGTTACTAAAAGTTGAATATAAGGTACCTGGGCAACTTGATTTCTGCCCCCTTGTGGGTTCATATTGTGCACAGAAGGAGGCAAGGGTTCAGTGCAAAAAGAAAACAAAGAAACAATAAAAAAAAAAACCAACCCACTATAAAAAACCTATTATGTGATTATGTAATTCTTTTCTAGGGTGTTGCACTGTGCATATATGTTTACATTCAGATTACTTGAGGAGCATAAAGTATCACAGATGGAGCAGAGCAAGATTTGACAGCACTGCTGAGAGCTTTCCCCGCTGCTGAATGTCAAACGCCTGCTAACAACAATGAAGGAATGGTTGTGAAGTTATAGAACATGTTGAGTAACCTAAGTATACTAGTCAGTATTAGCTGCCTAGGTTGCCGTCTTAGCGTATGTGCAGTAGAGCCTCATATGGCACATGACCAGGATTCATCAGCAAATTTGGTCCACTGATTGATTCATTAGTTCTCTGGCTTGAGCCAGTTATCGACAGAGAGTGTGACATGACATCCATTCCCCCTGCTCCTGCTGTAATCTATGTGATTAGTGTATTTGTTGGTCTAAAATAAAGTGTTGCATTTTGTTTTTTATGATAACAGAAAGAAGCTTGGCAGGAACACAAGCGAGAATGCAAATGTCTTAAGAGCATTGAGCCTAACTTCCCTCCTGATTCAGTGAGACTTGTTGGCAGGATTGTTTTTAAACTAGTAAGTGACATTCTATCCATATCCTATGCTGCATAAACTGGTTGTGCACTCTACATTTGTAATGTAATTAAAGTCTAGAAAGCAGAGGTTGTGGGATGGATAAACCAAGTGAGATGTGCATTTTGCATTGCAAAATCACTGATTAATTCCCAGTAACACTGGAAGCATCAAGAAATATGAAAATAGATGTAATAAAGCTGCAGGGGCCTGCACGAGAAACTGTTGCAAAAAAGTAACTTGCGTTGAAGTCCGTGGAAGTTTCTCTTATACAGGGTCTATGTAGTTGAGTCTCAAAATTCATTCCCTGGGAAATGAAGAGGGAAGAAAATCACTGCGCTTCAGCTTGCAGCACTGAAGTTGCTGGGAGTCTTGGGAATGGACTTCTGTGGTAGCGGGATCAAACCCCCTTTGAGTAGAGGTGAATATACATGAATTTGCATCAGAAGTGAATGCTGATGGACTTTCTTTTTTGTGGTGTACAATAATGTGCATTGCGGACGTGTTAGATTAGGCTTTGTTAGTTTTTTCTGAACTTACCTGGTAATGCTGGGCCTAAAATCTTTCCATAATGGCAATAGAAATGTAGCTGTGTTAGTCTGGTGTAGCTGAAGCAAAATGCAGGACTATGTAGCACTTTAAAGACTAACAAGATGGTTTATTAGATGATGAGCTTTTGTGGGCCAGACCCACTTCCTCAGATCAAAAAAAAAAAAAAAAAAGGGGGTCGGGCCCACAAAAACTGA